TGGATTGGATGAATTAAACAGACTAAGTATTAAGCAGCTATATAAGGGCATCTAAACACTCTTCCAATCATTTTAATTCCTATTGTTGTATAATGGAATTTCTCTATTCTCATATGTATAATCATCAGTCTGGCTCAATTGTAGCACCCTCGTCTCTGAGTTGGAAGGCTTTGGTTCTAATCACGTCAGGATATTTTACCCACTGTCTCTGGTGTGCTGCAATGTTATAATAATATAATAATCCTGTCATTTGATATAGCGTCTTATCACTTCTTCACTTTTAGATGTCCTCCTGATGTGAAAGGCACTATATTAAACGCAAGGATTAATATTATTACGTATCACCTAAGGCCCTACCTGTTCCTTATATTTCTTTGTACTCAGAAAACACATCTTAAATTATCTTTCTAAGTTATTAGTTTAACTCTCTTAATTATATCTTGCTGCCTACCAGTTTAGTTCCCCTTTAGTTTGAATCTACCCATTAATCTTTTCTGGTATATCATTGGTTTCCCCCAACCCATTTAAAGTGAAGCTCTCTGAACAGCTTCCTCCTGTACCAGAGGCAATTTAATATCCGAGAATTGTAAAACTATTCTTCTACACCATTTCTCACGTGTTGACATAACTTTTCTGTCTCTCCTTCACTGGCCCAGTCTGTGGCACTGATAGCAATCCTGAGATGTCAACCCTTTTGATTTTGTTTCATTCTAATTGAACCCGTGAAACTCAGTGTGAAAGGCCTTGTTGCTACTGCATCCTAAGTCATTGATTCCTATGTGGACTCCTAGCTCGTTCTCCCTTTCCATCAACTTCATTATGTCCTTTATTCTGATACTTGTTGAAATGTGGTATGACTCCAGGACTCATTGCAACCACTATAGAGAGACACAGTTGTTTGACGACTTGTCATCAGCTCCTTCTAAAAGTCTAATTTATAGGGAATGTTCTAGAGATTGCAATCCTTGTGATACATTTCTTAATACCAGTCTATTGTAGGGTGACAATATCAGAAAGTTATCCATTAATCGTTTGGTCAACTGATTGTTAAAAAAAATTAGTTCTTGCGTTCAATAACACATGCAGCCCTTTTGTCATTGATTTACGTAGCAACCTATTTCATAGAAATAAACATTGAAATATTGGCAATTATTTTAGGCCTAGCTTACAGGAATTGATTGTCGTGTTACCGTAAAACAGCCATTTAACTTTTGTTAATGGTTAACCCAATGTTATCTTTAGTCCAAATCATCTTGATTAAACTATTAACTTTCTGTTAGTTCTGGCTGTCCTAATATTGTATTATGCCACTGACTAGAAAATAACTCAATGTTAAGTTATCTGTATACACCAAAGCAAGTGTCATCACTTGAACCTGTGCAATTCAAAACAAACTTTAATTTTTGATCCACATTAGTACAATACAATTCACTTTACATTTGTATAGTACCTTTTGTGTCAGGAAGACATCCTAAAGCACATTCACAGTGCAAGATTTGTTGGCTAAGACACTGGGATAAATTCCCAATAGTGCCAATGGGATCTTCAAAACCCATCTGAACAGGCAGACGTGACCTTGGTTTAAAGTCTCATCTGAAGGACGGCCCCTCCGACAATACAGCTCACCCCTAGAACTGCATTAGGGTGTCAGTTTAGACTATGTGATTCCAAGTCATGTGGGGCTTGAATCCACTCAGAGGTGAGAGTGCTACCATTGAGCACTTTTAAACTGACCCATTTTAAGTAATTATTAGCAGAAGTCACATACATTTGTTAATAGGTTAAGATCCTAAACTGCAGGAATAGCTCCTTCCATGCTTGAACAGTAACAATGCCTCACTGACTCACTCCACAAGAAGATTACATTTATATTGCGCCTTTCACGTCGGGAGAATGTCCCAAGGCGCTGGACAGTGGACAGCATTTCAGACCCGAGTTGGGGTCAATAATCCTTGCATTTGATATAGTGCCTATGGTGCATATGCTTTAATGCACTTCACAAGTAATTGCTCTCAAGTGCAATGATTGCATATTTGTAGGCAATCCTGTTTGTTTTTAAAGAAAGAGCTAATCACAAATCATGTTTTCTGCTTGCCAAATAAAGGAGCAGTGTACATTTTCTTCCTCTTTCCTTTCCGTCCTCTCATTCTTTTAAATTCAGCCATAGAATCATAGAGAAACAAGGCATTTGATGCATGATATTTGCGCTGGGTTTTTTTTCTCCACAAGTCACGTATTGTAATCTGGCTCTCCTGCTTGCTCCCCTACACTTTAATGTTGTATTCCTCTTTTACCAGTATCTGTCTGCATTCTCCTCTAAAATAATTTATAATTTCACTTGTCTGTATTTTATCAATTTTCTCACTTTACTAGTCCTCGTTTCATTGCAAACTATGGCATAATGTAGGCTGAACAATAACTTCTGATACTTTAATGATTTGTAAAGCAGTGTGGTGTGCAAAGCAGAGCATTCAGAAGGAAAAAATAACAATATGGTAGTCTGAGATAGCAATCTTTCAGGAGATTAGGATTCTGAATACCCAGATGTAGCCAGTGGTTAATCATCTTGGAGATGAACTGGCACCTTCATGGGTAAAATATAAATGGTTGCAATAAATAGACCAGAACAATCCAGCTTTTTCAGTTAGCAAAATGTATTGCGTGAAAATTAGATTTTTTTTCTTGGCAAATGTGTTTCACTCTTGAAACACTCATGTTTGATAAATCTCTGTGTCCACTATTCGGTTTCTTGACCCTCTGCTGGAGCTGGAATAGTGGGATGTCCTCCTGACGTGAAAGGCGCTACGCAAACGTAGTTTGTTGTTGTTGTGTTGTTTTAAAGCCCACCCAGTCGTGCTCCTCCCTACCTCTGTGACCTATTAACACCATACCAACCTGTCCGCTCTTTGGGCATTGCCCTGCTCCATGCCCTCCCCCGCCCTGCCCGCCTGCCCCATTGGTGATCGGACTTTCAGCTTTTCTACCCCCACCCCCTGGAACCCCATCCTGGAGCCTCTCTGCCTCGCCTCCTCCCTTGCCTCCGTCGAGACCTTCCTCATTGACCGTGCCTTTGGCCACCCTTCCACTCCTCTTGATTCCAACCCCCCCCCCCCCCACCACCACCCCAGTTTGTGCGCAAAAGCTCTCGACAGTCCAGCGCCTCGGGATGTCGTTCTGAGGTGAAAGGCGCTACGTAAATGAAACGTGTGGCTGTTGTTGTTCAGCAAATGTGTCTGGCAGATACTAAACAGCTCGGGGCGGAGTTTCTGTTTCCCTCCCCACCATGTTAAGCGCTGGGGGGGGGGAGAGGGGGGTGGGGGAGTGGGGGCTACATCAATGCAAGTTGTTGTTGCTGTTGTTGTTGCACAGACACAGTGAATGTGGGGACTCCAGCCTCAGACGTGGGGATGCTCTCATTACCTGTGTGTGTGTGTGGGGGGGGGGGGAGTTGGGGGGGAGTGTCTCTGTCCCAGGGGGTGGGAATGTTCTCCTTATCTGCAGCTCACTAGGACGCGCCTTCTCTGGGGGTGTCTCCTGGGGGGTGGGGGGTGGGGGGGGCTGCACGGCCGCTGTTACACGCCGTGTCCGTGAGCCTGGAGTGTGGCTGCACAGCTCACAGCTCACTCACAGCATCCTCCCTCCCTCCCATCCTCCCTCCCTCCCTCCCTCCTCCTCCCTCTCTCCCTCCCTCCCTCCCTCCCTCTCTCCTCCCTCCCTCCCTCCCTCCTCCTCCCTCTCTCCCTCCCTCCCTCCCTCCGCCTCCCTCCTCCTCCCTCTCTCCCCTCCCTCCGCCTCCCTCTCTCCCTCCCTCCTCCTCCTTCTCTCCCTCCCTCCTCCTCCCTCCCCCCCTCCCTCCGCCTCCTTCCCTCCATCCCCCCCTCCCTCCGCCTCCCCCTCCCTCCATCCCCCCCTCCCTCCTCCTCCCTGCCCCCCTCCCTCCATCCTCCTCCCTCCCTCCCTCCAGCCCCCCTCCCCTCCCCTCCCTGTCGCTTAAAGTGGGACCACATTGCACATGTGCATATTTTTTCGTTGTTGCCGTCGCTGCTGTTTGTAACAATAACACAAAAAAACACACCCCAGAAACTCCACCTCCTCCTCCTCCTCCTCTCCACCTCCTCCTCCTCCTCTCCACCACCTCCTCCTCCTCCTCTCCATCACCCCCCTCCTCCTCTCCATCACCCCTCCTCCTCCTCTCCATCACCCCCTCCTCCTCCTCTCCACACCTCCTCCTCCTCCTCCCTCCTCCTCCTCTCCACCCCTCCTCCTCCTCTCCACCACCTCCTCCTCCTCCTCTCCATCACCCCCTCCTCCTCCTCTCCACCACCTCCTCCTCCTCTCCATCACCTCCTCCTCCTCCTCTCCACCACCTCCTCCTCCTCTCCATCACCTCCTCCTCCTCCTCTCCACCACCTCCTCCTCCTCTCCACCACCTCCTCCTCCTCCTCTCCATCACCTCCTCCTCCTCCTCTCCATCACCTCCTCCTCCAGCTCCACCTCTTCCTCCACCTCCTCCTCCTCTATCACCTCCTCCACCTCCTCCTCTCCATCACCTCCTCCTCCTCTCCATCACCTCCTCCTCCTCCTCCACCTCCTCCTCTCCATCACCTCCTCCTCCTCTCCACCACCTCCTCCTCTCCATCACCTCCTCCTCCTCCACCTCCTCCTCCTCTCCATCACCTCCTCCTCCTCCTCTCCATTACCTCCTCCTCCTCTCCACCACCTCCTCCTCTCCATCACCTCCTCCTCTCCATCACCTCCTCCTCCTCTCCATCACCTCCTCCTCTCCATCACCTCTTCCTTCTCTCCATCACCTCCTCCTCCTCTCCATCGCCTCGTCCTCTTCTCCATCACCTCCTCCTCCTCCTCTTCCTCCTCCACCACCTCCTCCTCCATTACCTCCTCTTCCTCTCCACCACTCCTCCTCCACCTCCTCCTCCTCTCCATCACCTCCTCCTCCTCTACCACCTCCTCCTCTCCATCATCTCCTCCTCTCCATCACCACCACCTCCTCCTCCTCACAGAAAGACGGAAAGGTTGTGGAGGACTGACTGATCCTCTGGTCGGATGCGGACAAGTTGTCCTGATCATCGCAGAGAATGGTTGACTTGGAGAACGAAGTGCCTCCTCTACCTCCCAGATACAGATTTCGGGACTTGCTTCTCGGGGATCAAGGATGGCAAACTGATGATAGGTAAGTTACTTTATATAATATAATATAATATAATATAATATAATATAATATAATATAATGCATAATACATAGTTGTTTTAGCTAATATGTGATATATAGTTATTTAATATAATAACATATAACGTACTATATATGCATTTATGTATCTGTGGATTTATTCATTTATTTAATCGTTAAATAAAACAATTTTGTTGGGGTATTTGTTTTTTGCCAACACACCCCCCCCCCCCCCCCCCCCCCCCCCCACACCCCCCATTTTCTGAATGGAAACGCGACTCGGTTTCGCGTCTTTGCGAAACTTCTTTGCTTTGCGGACGCTTTTCTCTGCGATGTCGCGACATTGGAGTCGGGGGTTACACCACTGGGAGTTGCCTTCGGGAGAGGGATCTCCACATCACCTTCCAAACTCGTCGCCTTCTTTTTATTCGTGTTGTGCGTTGCGTTGCGCGTTGTGTGTTGAAACAATTTGCCAGTGCGCAAAGTGGGCACAGTCTGTGCATCTGTGCATCTCACTGCCTCGTCCGACTCCCTTCTTTTTGTTGTTTTGCTGTTCGGTTTTTTCTTGTGCCTTTCCACGAAAGTTACGCCGCTTTATGTGAAAGGAGACAGACCCCAGAAACCCTGAACCACAAAAGTCATTGCAAGGCGTTTGCGTTGTGTACCTGTGGCTCTGGGCTTCAGCAACGCACACGGTTCATGGGCACCACTGCAAAATAACCCCACACTCCTGTAGTTTACTTGGATGCAATTTTAAAAAGCAAGAGAGGTATCCCTCATCATCATCATCATCACCATCATCATACCTGTACTGAACATCTTGCCCTTAATCCACGGTTGGTTTGAAATTCATATCATCACAGTATTTTATTTGCGGTTTTGCGGTCTGTGGCATCTCACTGACATCTTTGGCGTCACACACTTTGTGTGTTCCTCGTTGCCAACAGCTCTTTGACTTACCTGAGCAGTGTTTGGTGTCAAAACAAAATGCTTTGGGTGCAATCAGAAATACACAGGCATGGCTGAATTGTAGAATTATTATTGTTTTGGTCAAGTACATGCTGTCATGACCTTGCCAGTAATTTGTGTAATGTCCTAAGTGCTAACGCGTGCCTTGCCAGGCTGCTCAATGTGCTTGTAAACTTGCTATACTAATTGTCGCCTTATCAATTGGAACATCGGTTAGCAACTGGATCAATTTTCGTAAAAAAAAAAGCCGCCGAAAGCAAACTGGATATTTCATTTAAACAACAAAGTGCATTTATTTATGGCAATCAAATATATTCTTGATTACTTTTTTCTCCCTAAAGTTGTACATTAATCTGCCATATGATATGTACAAATCCAGTATTTTTTAAAATTATTTAAACCGCTTGGATAAACCATTCAAAATATGTTTTTTTCTAAGGATACAATGTCATACTCTGGCTATTTAAGTGCCCCTTGCATCAATCGAGAAAGGAGTGTAACTGATGCTTATGTATCTAAAGGTGAGACTTGATGAACAGCTTTAGTAATGTTTGCCTCTTGGCTATTGACAAATCGGTTTCCATTTGACGGATCCGTTCGCTGCTAATTCAACAAGATCTCCTTAGAGGTTTAAAATTAAGTAAAGAAGACATCTTTCTGGAACAAAATTTCTATCTTCAAGTGTAATTTTAAAATCAAAGAAATGCATCTGGTAATAATAAGAATGCTTACATTTTACACGTAAAGATGTTCACACAATTGTCACATAATGAGTTGCTTTGAAGTACTGTACAATGATTGTTGTCATGTTGGCAAACACATCTCATCTCCACCAGCAATGTCTCATGCTAGTGACTATACTCGAGGTGGGAGGGATACACAAGGTCTCCTTGGAGCCAGTTCAGTGGAACACATTTGGTAGTGGAATGTCAGAATCAAGCCCACCCTCTGCGGTGGTCTTGGTAGTCCAGTTCTTGAGCCAGGCAGGTCTGCAGTACTCCAAACCACTGCTGATGGCATTGGTTGGGCAGACCAAGATGACTTGGAAGGGCAGACCAGTCACTGGGGGCAGGAAATCCTCCCACGCAGTGCCCAGCAGGACAAGCAGCAGGAACACTTGCCAGCTATGATGTTTTGCTTGGTTTGACTCCAGCAATGCACATTCCAGGGTCCCCAAGCCTTGGTTCTGGCTAACTTATGCCTAATACTCTTTGAAATTAGATAATCAGGGTGTGTCGCGATAGGGAAAGAATACTTTGTGGGTGAAAGGCGGCGGCAGCCAATTGTGCAAAGCAGTAAACATCTCTGTAATTTCCAAGTGTAATAATAATAATAATGATAATAATAATAATAATAATAATCCTTGCATTTGATATAGCGCTTTTCACATCGGGAGGACATCCCAAAGCGCTTCACAGAACACACTGTAAAGTGTAAAGTGTAGGTGGGTTGCATGGAACTATGTTTGGTTTGGATACAGTTAAGCAATGTGATGGGTTTCCACAAGTTTCAGACACCTGGCTGACCAAATTAATAAATATTACAAAGGACAGGTAACCAATTAATCCGAATTTTGGATGAACAAGGAGTATTATCTTGGAATTTCTTGCTCCTTGAAATGTTACTACAGGATCTTTAGCATCAATTTGAGTTAGCCTTGGTAGAACACCTTACTTCTACAGATGGCTCTGCCAAACATCAGCACTTGCTCAGTACTTCCCAATAGTCTTGACATATCTTGTATTATATGATATGATTAATCTAGCTGCAACTAAAATATTGAAATATTATAAAAAAAAGTAACTTTGAATCAATTATCAGATCATTGTATACTTTGCAGTATATTCTGTGAAGCGCTTTTGGATGTCTCGAAGATGTGATAAGGCGCTATAACAAATGCAAGGATTATTATTACTATGTTTAACAACAATCAGTTTTGTTTTGATAGAAAGGAAACATAATCCAGATTTTGTTACGTGCTAATAGATAACGTAGATGCTAGCAAGTTAATTGATTTGATCTATGAGGAAGTTTAGAGGAAGAATATTAAAGATTGTGAAATTAATGACCAATAAACTTGTCAGTTTGAAGATTGCTTGGGAATTGCAATCAAACAGTAATAAATGGGCAAGGCTTTTTTCAGGAAGGCAGTGTCGAGGAATATTCCACAGGGGATTGCTATTGTGTATGCTGTTCATAAATCATGTGTAAACTACAGTTAGTAATTAGAATAGCAAAATATATCAACTATTCATAATTTAACACCTCTGTTAGGTTTTTTTTTTGTCGTCCATGCTCAGTTGGTAACACTCTTGCCTTTGAGCCAGAGGTTTTTGGGTTTGAGATTCATGTTGGAATTTTGTGCTGTAATATTCTATGAATTTATGACACAAAGGCAGAGTATCAAATTATTAGGCTTCCTCTCGTCTCTCTTCTTGTGAAAATGACTTCAGTTTCTCTAGTCTCTCCTCACAATTAAACCTTCTCAATTCTGCTAAAGTAACATCCTTGTGAATCTCCGTACCCTTTTTCAAAGCCTTGAAAAAAGTCTGGTATCCACAGATGCACATGGTACTCTAATTGTAGTCCAATGCATATTTATGATTCAGAGAAACCTGGTGCAAATCAAGAAGTAGTAGCTGACAATGAACCAGGGTCTGTTCAATGCTGGCACAGACACGATGGGCCCAATGGCCTCCTTCCGTGCTGTATAATTCTATGATTCTATGAACAGAGCCTCCCCACTCAGTCTAAGATGCCAATGATTATCCAGCCACAACATATCAAGGAGGTGCACGAGAGAGTGCTTAATTATTTCAGTCAGTTTAACCAATCACTCATTTGAAATAACTAGAAACTAATGATTTGATAAACTCTTTTAAAAGTTAATCATCTTGAGAGGGTTTTCGATTCAAGCACATGCCGGTTGTAGGCCACACCTCTGGAGCATCACTTGAAACTTGTAATATATTTATCGTGGAATCTATCTCAGATTGGTACCTAAATAGTCTGTACTATAGATGGTCAAGTGATAGGGTTGACTTCAAAACTAAATGACAGTCTTGAGTTCAACGTAGGTATTCGTAATTAGAAACAAAAACAGAAGTGGCTGGGACCACTCAGCAGGTCAGGCAGCATCTATGGAGAAAGGAAAGTGAGTCAACATTTCGGGTCCACAACGTTTCGTCAGAACTGGTGTTAATGATGCAAAACAAAGGTGGTGATGGGGGGATTACAACAAAACAGGGGAAACGAGGTATTAATAATGCAAAACAAAGGTGGGGGGAAGGGGAAATTGCAACAAAACAGGCAGAGCAGAGAGAGAAAAGGTGTGTCTGGGACCCAGATGATGTGGTTATGGTCATAGAAGAGAGGGAGGGGGAAAGTAAGCTGTTATGGTCTGGAACTGTTGAAATCAATATTGAGGCCAGAGGGCTGTAAGGTCCCTAGCAGATAAATGAGGTGCTGTTCCTCGAGCTTGCGCTGTGGCTCATTGGAACAGCGTAGGAGACCATGGATGGAGAGGTCAGAGTGCGAGTTGAAATAGCAAGAGACTAGAAGGTCAGGGTTGTGCTTGCGGACAGAACGGAGGTATTCGGCAAATCGGTCACCCAATCTGCATTTCGTCTCCCCAATGTAGAGGAGACACATCGTGAGCAGCGAATGCAGTAAACTACATTGGTGGTAGTACACATGATTCCTAATTAGACGTTTGATTGAATTTTGTTGGATTTTTTGTTGTAGAATTCTTTGTGGCACTCCTAGGATTAAAAATTAATTTGTAATATATATTACTCAGTATTGAGCTCATAATTAATTAATCTAGCCTGTCCTGGGGCTTGAAACCAGTAAACTTTACATCTAATTCATATGCTGAAGTGCTGATAAACTCTTATTCAAAATTGTAACATAAAGTCAAAATCAGAGGACCACTTTCACAATCAGTGCACCAGTCTGCCCCACTATTAGCTGGATTCTGGCCTGATTGTGTGCTATTTCATTCTATACATTAGGACATTTGTGATGACACTTGT